ATATTTGTTAAATACTAAGAGAACTTACAATACCTGATGAGCCCGTGTCACGACTCGACAGTCCTGTGTAGATAATCGACCACTTTAAATAGTTTTCCATCATTTCACTACACTGTGTAAATCATGACTAGATTACAGTGTGTTCCTCTACATGACATTTCTTTTGTCCCTCGGCTTAAACATCTTTCCATTAATGTGAAACTCTCCAATCCTGCGACTTCTACTTCACTTGAGTTTCTTCAGTCGAGATGACTTCAGGTCACTCACCTGACTCTTACAGATCGTTGTGGGTCGTCACATATGAACATTCGTTTTTCTACAGTTTTGTCAGTTTGATAAAATACTGGTTCACACTTGAGTTTTCAGTTTCAGGCTGTCACACTGAAGCATTATGGTTAAAGTCTAAGAGACGCAGATCTGATGCAGATCAGCTGTGCTGCTGTTTTCTTCTAGAGGACAAACTTCATTTAAAAATAGCACCTGTATTATTTCACCCCATATTCTGATTGGTTTTTTAGAGTTAGAGCAGCGGTTGTGTCATCATGTTAACAGTCTGTCCTCTGTCGGGGGATGTGTGGGCGGACGTCTGGACGAGTTAGACGATCTGTGTGTTTGTTAATCAGAGCTCATCACACAGCTGCTCAATGAAATCCTGTTGAGTCTGAGTGACATGTGACAGATCTGAACTCAGGTGAAACCACTGTGTGGGTCAGTGAGTGACAGAGGAACTAGTGTTTCTGTGGCGGGGCTCTCTGGTCACATGATCTTTGCTTCCCTCAGCCTTCATTCACGCTCGTCTCTTCAACAGACACAAACTGACTTCGTCACCTGACCTCAGCCGGCTCTTGTATCTGACTTTTGCCCTCCTTCCCATGTTGTAGTATTGTTTTGCAGTATTTGGTGATCTCTATATATAATATAATTATTATTTTTAAACCACTGAAGTGAACGCTGCTTGATGAGTTTCAATGGAGGAACTAATTATTTTCATTATGTGATTTAGATTAATTAGTTGATTATTATTCTTTATTGATTGTGCAGTCGATGGAGCATCATCATTTCACAGAGCAAAAACTGTGACGTCTGTTACTCAGTTATTAACAATATGACAGAGAAGCAGAGAAACCTTTGTTTGAGAGGCTGAAGTCAAACCCATGATTTTGACTGATTAAAATTAAGTTAAATTACTTCTGTTAATGCACAATTAAAATGTATCTCATTTTATAAACTTCAGGAAAGCATCTTATTTAAGAGCTGATCTCACGGTCAAATAAATAACCCCAGTATATCGAATTGTACTTGTGTATATTTCTATATATATTATGTACCTATGAAAAGTGTGTATGT